CCTATAGGCCTGGCCATCCTGTGGTGTGCTGCAAGCTGAGGCTTTGAGGGGAAATAACACATCTCCTGAAATAAGCCCTAGGTGTCTTCTTGAGGAAAAATAAATATAACACCCTGTCTTATTTTAGGGGAAACACAGTACTTAACAATAAAGTAAATCTTACTATGGCTTAAAGGGATTTTTTTAATGGTATAGGGACAGTTACTGCCTTAGGAATATTGGTCATTCTTTTTTTTTAGACATGGTCTCACTCTGTTGCCCAGGTTACCATGGCCATCTATTTTTAAATGTAGGTTTCTCGACGACCTGTGAGAAGATACAAAAATTCACGATATAATAAAATGAGTTTATATTACAAAAAAAATTGCCTTGTATTGATAAAGAATACTCTTGGCGGAAAATCACATTAAACACATTTTGAACATTCAAAACAGATGAAACTGTCAAATGTCAAATTATAAAACTCCTAACAAAACTTAAGTGCAGGTTAAGAAAAGGAGTCAATAAATGCATCCTTTAAAGAGCAAGCTACTCAGAAGTTCTTAAAATGTGACTTACGTATATGTCTCATAATCTTATTTATACAAATATTTTGGAAAATATATACAAAAGAACTCAGAGCTTTTCCTCAAGCTCCCTCCTAGAAAAAAGATACATTGATGACAACAATATTTGGCATGTCAGTTTTTACATTTAATATAGTAGGAATACATGTAAAAGAACTCTGAACAGAATTACAGAATTAAAATTAAACATAATATTTAATTTCTGTCTGAAAGGAAATTCATAATTTAATAAATGCTATGACCACACACACATTAAAATAAAAATCAAACAGAAAACTCTATTAGAAGAACTCTGCTGACAGTCAATGTTAAAAAAAAAAGAATACAAATTCTAATAAGTAGTGGTGACATTTCAGTCTCAAGTACCCAAAGAGGTTATTAAGATAAAGTATTAAAAAGTGAGATAGGATAAAATTTAAAAGTCCCCTTCAATCATATCCTGCAAAAAGTTCTCATTAAGATTATTTTTCAATCTGCCTCACTCACTTAGATCTAAATACTAAAAGACAAAAAGGTGTTTTTCAACTAATGTTTGACAAGGACACCAAGAATACACAATGGGAAAAGAATGGTCTCTTCAATAAATGGTGCTGGGAAAACTGGATATTCACACACAAAATAATTCAACTGAACCCTTATCTTACGCCATTTACAAAAATTAACTTAAAATGGATTTTATGTAAAACTTGAAACTGTAAAACTCCTAGAAGGAAACACAAGGAAAAAGCTCCTTGACACTGGCCTTAGCAATGATTTTTTTGATATGACACCAAAAGCATATGATTTTTTGGATACAACAAAGGTATCAAAAACAAAAGTAAACAAGTGGGACTACATCAAACTAAAAAGCTTCTGCACAGCAAAGGAAATAATCGATAGAATGAAAAGGCAATGAGAATGTGAGAATATATAGGTTAAGCATCCCTAATTCAAAATTCCAAAATCCAAAACGCTCTAAAATCTGAAACTTTTTGAGCTCTAACATGATGCCACAAGGGGAAAATTTCACAACTGACTTTATGTGATGGGTCATAGACAAAACTTTATTTCATGCACAAAATTATTAAAATTATTATATAAAATTACTTTCAGGTTATAAACACAAGGTATATATAAAACATACATAATTTTCATGTTTAGACTTGAGTCTCATCGTCAAGACATCTCATTATGCATATGCAAATATCCCAAAATAAAAAAATATTCAAAATCCAAAACACTTCTGGGTCCCAAGCATTTCAGATATGTGCTACTCAACCTGTATTTGCAAACTATGTATCTGATAAGGGATCAATATCCAAAATACATATGGAACTCACAAATTCAATTAACATATAACCCATTTAAAAATGGGCAAAGGATCTGAACGAACATGTTTCCAAAACAGATGTAAAAATGACCAACAGATATATGAAAAAGTGCTCAATATCACTAATCAGGAAAATGCAGATCAAAACCACAATGAGGTATCATTTCACATCTGTTAGAATGACTATTACCAAAAAAATAAGAGATAGCAAGTGTAAGCAAAAGTATAGAGAAAAAAGAATCCTTGTACACTATTGATAGGAATGTAAATTGGTATAGCCATTATGGAAAATAGATGGAGGTTCCACAAAACATTAAAAGTAGAACTACCATACAATCCAGCAATCCTACTTCTTGGTATACATCCAAAAAATGAAATCAGTATTTTGAAGAGATATCTGTACCCCCCTGCTCACTGCAGTATTATTTACAATGGCCAAGATATGGAAACAGCCTAAATGTCTGTCAATGGAGGAAAAAAGAAAATGTGGTAACTCTATATAATGGAATATTACTCATTCTTCAAAAAGGAAAAACTGCCTTTGTAAGAAGACAGATGAACCTGGAGCACATGATGTTAAGTGAAATAAGCTAGTTACAAAACGACAAATACTATATGATCTCACTTTTACATGGATTCTAAAAAGTCAAACTCATAGAAGCAGAGAATGGAATGATAGTTGCTAGGTGCTGGGGCATGAAGGAAATGGGGAGATGCTGGTCAAAGGATACAAAGTTTCAGTTATAACAGATAAGTCTATGAATCTAATGTATAGCATAGGGACTATAATTAATAATAGTGCATTATTTACTTAAAATTTGCTAACAGAGTAGATCTTAAATGTCCTCATACACACACACCAAAAAAAAAGGGGGGTAAATAACTATGTGTGGTGATAGATATGTTTATCAATTTGATTGGGGTAATCATTACAAAATATATACAAATACCAAACCATCACATTGCACAACTTGAATACATATAATTTTTATTTGTCAATTATACTTCATTAAGCTAAAAAAGAGGTGTTTTTAAAAATTGAATTAATAAAAATAAATATCTGTTTTTAAACTTATTATTTAGGCTGGGCGTGGTGGCTCACACCTGTAATCCTAGCACTCTGGGAGGCCGAGGCAGGAGGATTGCTCAAGGTCAGGAGTTCAAAACCAGCCTGAGCAAGAGCGAGACTCCGTCTCCACTAAAAAATAAAAATAAAAAAAAAATTGAAGGAAATTAGCAGAAAACTAAAAATATATAGAAAAAATTATCCAGGCATGGTGGCGCATGCCTGTAGTCCCAGCTACTCAGGGGGCTGAGGCAGAAGGATTGCTTGAGCCCAGGACTTTGAGGTTGCTGTGAGGTAGGCTGATGCCACAGCACTCTAGCCCAGGCAACAGACTGAGACTGTCTCAAATATATATATATATATATATATATAATAAAAATATTGAATCTTACTCTCTTTGAATTTAGAATTATTAGTTTTCCCTCAATATCTGTGGGGGTTGGTTCCAGGAGCCCCCTCATACACTGTAAGATGGCATAGTATTTGTATATAACCTATGCACATCCTCCCATATACTTGAAATCATCTCCAGAATATTTATAATACCTAAAACAATGCCAACACATCACTTCACTTACATGAATTCAACACAGTACTGGCAAGCAGCAAATTCAAGTTCTGCTTTTTGGAACTTTTGCAATTTTTGTTTTCTAAATGTTTTGTTCTACAGCTGGTTGAATCCATGGATGTCCCATGGATGTGGAATCCACACTAAAGAGGACAGATTGTATTACCCACATACGTTCCACTGCAAGCACCACGCAGACAATTTCCACAGGTAAGCCCCTATGTTACCCTAAACCAACAGTGAAAGTACACCTTTTGTCATCATATAAGTCAGTGTCAGCTACCATTTAAGTGGCATGATCTAATTTCACACATGGCTATTAGCCCACATCATCCTCAATTGTTATCAGAGTGAAAAAGGAAGATAGCATTATTGCTGCCAGAGGTAACACAATATAAAAGGAACAAATCTTAAGAGATAGACAGATCTGATTCTCATCTCAGCTACATCATAGACCACTTGGGAGAGCATGGTGTAGTTATTTACACTATTATCTTAAGTTTTATTTCCCTACTTTTCAAAGATATAAAACACCCACACAACTATATATATATATCACTGCATAATGCCTGACACAGAAAAATTTCACAGGTAACATCTAAGCATGCAGTAATATAGTACAATGGCTTACAAGAGTAACTATTAATGTCAAATCCCAATTCTGTCACTTACTCGGCTGCACAACCACGAGCAAGATATTTAATCCCTCTAAACCTCAATTTTACAAATACATGTATAAACTAGAACTATTAATGGGTTTTGTAAGATACAAAGCACTTAGGCCCACAATAAACACAATAAATGTTTGCTATAATTATATTATCTTAATTAAGCATTTAAGGCTTTAAAATAATGCATTAGCTATCCTATTATATATGCAGAATTAGCAAAAGATAATTTCCAGCATTTTCAATGAGTCAATATACAATTAGTCAGGTCCTTCTAACTTCTTTTTTGTATATTTTATATGACAACTGATTAAACCATTTCTTAAATAGATGCTTATAAAATGCAACTATTGGGGAAAAAATATTAAACAATCATCCAGAAGACTTACTATTGGAAGCAGAGGAAAAAAAATATTTTTAACTCTTATAACATGACTACTAAGGTGCAAGAAAAAAATGGACCCTATAAAATACTATAGATGATACTGGGAAGTGGCAGTGAGCTGCGCTCCCAGTCAGCCACACAATCACAAAACAAACAATACTCCACAGTGACTGTGTCCTCAGTGTTTTTTAGATATCATGTGTTGTGTTTTCACATCCTAACATGTCTACAAAACGCCCATTTTGGACTCAGGATATTTTCAATTTATGATGGATCTATCAGGATGTAACTCCATCATAAGTTGAGAAGCATCTGTGTATACTTTCTTTTACCTGACTCTACCTCTCAACAGAATACTGTCACTTTAAAAACTCTTCATGTATAATAACTTATGCTGTACATTACTGAAAAATATTTTTGGGCTAGTATATGCTATACCTTTTGGGGAGCGAGAACTCTCTGCCTGAACTTTTCAACCGTTTCTTGACCCATAGAAGACCAAGCGTTCACAAATGCTTCTGCTTTGTCTTGTCTAAGATGGATGTTCTCTAATTGCTGCTGCAAAGCTGTTGGCTTCACATTGTGATATACAGCCTATTAAAGAGAAAAAATATTACATAAATCCTTCATATTCATACAGAGATCTTAAACTGTAATCAATAATAATTATTTTTAAATGATTTAAATCAAAAGAATATTTCACATTCCTATTCCAGACACTTTTGGTTATTTTACAAATAATAAAATAACAACAAAGGACCAGAAGGTTCAGGATCAAATGGCCTAAATTATTCAGGCCTAAATTATTATTTTTTTCATTTTTGCCTGTGGTTTAAGCAATCCTAAATCCACTTAATAATCAAAATACTTCTTTATGTTGGTTATATAAATGGTACCTTATTTAAAATTGTGTTTTTTCATTTACTTATTTCAAATAAGTATACAATGGTTTTCTTTCCCAACTACCAAATTTTTTCCAAGAAGCATTTACTCACAACTACCTCATTTAACAATTTCCTCAGTTATATGGGAGAAAGAAACTTTTGAGGTAAAGAGATTGGAAGTATTCAGAGTTAGCCAGATGGAGTATTTAACAAGTGAAAGTCAACAAGATATGTAGTGGGCCAAGAGGGATATAGATCATGTAGGTCCTTAAAAAGTTGTAAGGACTCTGATTCTATTATAAGCCAATATACGAAAGACTTCAGTGGATGTGAGGACAAAGGAGGGATAAACAAGACTTATTAGTTTAAAAGAACCACTTTCAGAGTTGCGATCAAGTAACACGTGGAAAGTACTTTAATCAACTCTAAGCTCCAAAATAAAAATGATAACTCTAGACAAAATATTTTAAAAAAAAATAATTGAAGGCATTTAAGAATGACTAAATGTAGGCAAAAGTTAAAGGGAATTCAACTTCAAAAGAAGGGAATCATCACAATACATATAGGGAGGACTGTAGATGGCACACTGAATAACAGGTTTTAATGAGATTAATATACTCTGGAAACAAAAAACAAAAACAAAAAGAAAGAATCATATAAGGTGAGAGATTCACATATATATGACTTTCCCAATCCACGCAGCATGGGTGGCTAAAACTCAAGTAGAAAACCTCAGACTTTTTGGCTTGTGAGGTCAGCAATGCCATTACTGGATATTTATATAGGGAAAGGAAAATACTTGTCCATAAAATGACTTGTACACAAATGCTCATTAGGAATCTTGTACGTAATAACCATCTGGAAACCCAGATGTTCACAAAACAGAAATACGGATAAACAAATAGTGATATATTCATATGATGCAATATTAGTCAACAATAAAAGAATTACTGATAATGTAATACTATGAATGAATCTAAAAAATTATGTTGAGGTACATTAATCAGACACAAATTATATGAGTCCATTTATATTAACTCTATGAGCAAAGAAAAGTAATCTATGGTGACAAATCAGAAAGTGAGGATGAGGATAGAGGGAATTGACTGAAACTGGACACTTCCCAGGTGATGAAAATTTTATATCTGTTTCTTATTTTGTTATAGAAAAAATATGACTTATATTATCCTTAATATATATTTCTTATAATTAAATGAGAATATATAATTCTTGAAACCCATCACTTAAAATCTACATTTTACTACAGGTAAATACATTTCAATAAAAAGTAGTAAATAAAACTACATAGCAACATTTAAAACTCGTAACCAGGCCGGGTGCGGTGGCTCACGCCTGTAATCCTAGCACTCTGGGAGGCCGAGGCGGCGGATTGCTCGAGGTCAGGAGTTCGAAAACAGGCCTAGGCAAGAGCGAGACCCCGTCTCTACTATAAATAGAAAGAAATTAATTGCCAATATATACTATATATATATTTATATATATATAAATTAGCTGGGCATGGTGGCAGCCTGTAGTCCCAGCTACTCGGAGGGCTGAGGCAGAAGGATTGCTTGAGCCCAGGAGTTTGAGGTTGCTGTGAGCTAGGCTGACGCCATGGCACTCACTCTAGCCCCAGACAACAAGTAGAGACTCGTGGTCTC